TCATAACGTATAGAAATTTATACCTTTACACAGTAGCTTTCTGGTGTCATAACGGTATAGAAATTTATACCATACTGTCTAAAGAAAAACTGGCCTTTACACAGTAGCTTTCTAGTGTCATAACGGTATAGAAATTTATACCTTTACACAGTAGCTTTCTGGTGTATAACAGTATAGAAATTTATACCATACTGTCTATCGAAAAACTGACCTTTACACGATAGCTTTCTGTGTCATAAATGTCAAAAAATGTTTTAAGCGTAATCTCCTTTTTATCTATTGTTATATTTTAATCCTTGTATTCATTGGGATAAACAAAATTTAATAATCTTTTTATTACAAATAATAATATTGTATGTATTAATAATATCTCACACGAAGTATTTTTAGTAAAAAATACTTGTTAAAAATTGTTTTGTTCTTATCATTTCTTGATATTTTTATAATGTTATTCTATAATGAAATAATTGTGATGTTTACTTTGTATACAAGAAAAATTAACAAGCACTTTTTTCATCAAATACGAATGTTAATACTAAAACAAAGCCACTTGTTTGATCGTAATTTTAAAGTTTAACTCACTTAAAGTGACACAGGCTTTTATTTCGTTGATATTATATTTTGGAAATAGACACTGTTCAAGTATAATAGTTGCCGCTAATTTCATACCTTGAACCACTCTACTAATGATTATAAGAGAAATATCACTTAGTCAAGACGATTATGACTTCATGAATTCATCATTTGTTATAATTTCTGGATTATTACACCATTTTATGCTATATCATAGTGATGAGAAAAGAATTTCAAATCGTCTATATCGACGGTTATAGTTATTATTACACATTACAGCTCCCCCACAGTTATAGTTATTATTACACATACAGCTCCCCCACAGTTATAGTTATCATTACACATTACGCTTCTCCACGGTTATAGTTATTATTACACATTACAGCTCCCCCACGTTTATAGTTATTATTACACATTAGAGCTCCCCCACGGTTATAATTATTATTACACATTACAGCTCCCCCACAGTTATAGTTATTATTACACATTACCGCTCCTCCACGGTTATAGTTATTATTACACATTACAGCTCCCCAACCGTTATAGTTATTATTACACATTAGAGCTCCCCTACGATTGTAATTATTATTAAAGGTTACAGCTCCCCATGGTTATAGTTATTATTACACATTAGAGCTCCCCCATGGTTATAATTATTATTAAAGATTACAGCTCCCCCACGGTTATAGTTATTATTACACACTACCACTCCTCCTCTGTTACTATTTTGGAGCTGTATATCCGAATACGGAGACAGGTTTATTTTGATTATCAGAACTCAGTGTTCAAATCTGACACATAAATCTGTAACCATTTTCACTCGTAAGCAGTTAAAAGTTATTGTAAATCATTAAAAACGTTCAATGGAAAAAAAACTACATTCTCACATTACAAATACAAATCAACCCTGTAATGATTAAGTATTCTGGTATTACACTCTTGCTTATAACGACTTGGATGATTTTTTATATCAGCTGCGTACTCTCGCTATTAAAGATATTTTCATCTGTCTGGTTCAGGATTTAGTTACCATGAAGATGAGTAAAGCTGGATTTACGAGCTCTTTCCCTCCAAATAACGAGAACGAGAACAACAACAATCGTGGGTGTAACAACAATTAAAAACATTCAACCACACAAACAAGGAAAGTTTATTTAAAAACATTTACTCGTTAGTGTCGTATATTAAAAACACATTCAACTACACAAACAGGAAAGTTTATTTTAAAACATTTACACGTTAGTGTCGTATATTAAAAACACATTCAACTACACAAACAAGGAAGTTTATTTAAAATCATTTACTCGTTAGTGTCGTATATTAAAAACACATTCAACTACACAAACAAGGAAAGTTTATTTTAAAACATTTACACGTTAGTGTCGTATATTAAAAACACATTCAACTACACAAACAAGGAAAGTTTATTTGAAAAACATTTACTTGTTAGTGTCGTATATTAAAAACACATTCAACTACACAAACAGGAAAGTTTATTTAAAAACATTTACTCGTTAGTGTCGTATATTAAAAAC